TGTTATGATCGCTGACGTGCCGAGTGAAATAAATCACCATCAGCGTTATTTAAAAGCATCGGTTTTACCTGCAGACACCCTGGGCTCTAAAATGCTCACTGTGCACTGAAGGCACAGCAGGGACAAATGGCTTTCTCCAGTCCTCTCATTCTTCTGTTCATTAACACAGAACTAGGTCACCTACAAAATGGCGACCAGTTGGCCACCTTATCTGTTCCCCCCTCCCCACCCCACCCCCGCTGCCATGTCAGCAAATGTTTCTCTCAGATTTCGGCCAAAAGAGGCTCCTGAATAATACACTCAAACAGAGCACCCTGAAGAAAGACAGACGGGAGATTTATTGCCCGTATTTGAAGCTCTTTTCAATATGCATCCCTCAGCCAATTTTCCTCGCGCCGCCTTTAATTACCTGTCTTAATAGGATCCCTGTAAGAGTGGCAGGATGTCTTCACTAATGTCTACTTTCGAACTGTGGGATAATTACACCACCATGAAATTTGCAGAGATGTCTTTCTAAAGCAAGAAAAGAGTGCAATAAATGGGAGAGGTGTCAGACTACAAGCACTTTCTAATTTTTGCCTTCTTGTTTGGCATTGTCCAATTTGCTAAGCTTTTAATTAAGTTTTTTTTCTTATGTGATTTATACWTGCTTGTCAATATGTATATTTTTTAAGTAGTAAGTCTGTGGATTCTGTGTTTTCAAGTATTTATGATTGTGTTTAATGTGCTTTCAAGGGTATCTCCTGGCTCTATCTTAAAGCAGCAACCTAAATTCAGACTCCATGAGTGCAAACTTGGCATTACTCACAAGCAATGTGTCCTTGCAAGTATGAGTTTACRCTTTTTATATTTTCATGTTTAGTTGCAGGGTTAAATATGATTCAAAATGTTGATGTGTGAAGTCAGAAACCCCCAAAAGGCACAGTGGCAACACAGTTATTCACACACGTACACACTGCTAAACCTTGTTGCCCTCTTCCTGGCAGATTTTGGTTCTGCCATGGTTGTGACAAGCCCCAAATCTATTGCTGATGGGATCAGACCATGACAGGTATGACCCGTGTTTTCTTGCTCATTCCACTCGCAGAGAGACTCCCCAGCCTTTTTATGGGGCTTCCATCACCTGTTTATTTACGCAGAAACACTCCCTTTTTCACACAAACCTCACCCATGCACCTGTGATGCTCTGTTGTTACGAGACGCACGTAAAAGTGCTTAAATAGTTTTCCTTTTTAGATTAAATGYAAATAAGTCAGTCAGATAAACCTGTCTACTGCATTGGACATATTTACACTTATGAGTTGTACAACTTGTCATTTCTCTTCAAATGTACACTTAAAAAACATCTCATCTGACTGTGCATAATAAKCTCCTTGCCCTCTGCATATGCTCCACATTAATGCTTAGATTTAAGCTAACCAGCCGGCCTGCAGACAGGTGCCATGTTCTGTCGCACCATGAATATGTATGACTACTTTAGCACTCAAATCATTTCCATACAAGATTATGAGCACATATGATTTGCAATGCATAGCTTGGGAAGGTCACATGCTTCATCTCCTCGCCTTATTGTTTTCTTAGCGTGTCTCACACCCTTACCCATCCGTTCTCTTGTTGCCCCCTTTACTCCTTTCCTTTCTAATCTAACAGAACAGACATACATGGGGTATGGTCTTGAAATGTCTGGTTTTGTTCCAGTTTTGATGTGCTGCATTTTAGATTCAATGACACAACCGTCTCCCTGCTTAGCAGTGGAAGTAGGAAGTGGCTTTTATTTCCAAAGAGTAAATCTGTGAGGAAATGGTGGTAGATAAACAGAAATGGGGAGGTTCACTTGCAGTGTTTACTGGGGCCTCTGGCGGGACAGCTGGTAATTCACAATAAATTGGAAGCAGTAGAAAGCCAGCTGCCCTGCAGGGGATGGAGAAATGTGTCTGAAAGAAGCGTAAATGGGGGAAGCATGCGTACACCTGTAGGTATATATGTTTGTGAGAGCGTCTCTGTGGACGTCACCGATCCAATGGGAAAGTGTCTAATCTCTGTTCCTCTTTATCAGACGTGTGTGTGTGTGTGTTGGAGTGGAACTGTGTGTGTTTATTTGCTGCTTGCTGATTTCTAGGTGATGCTGAGTATCTTTGTTTGCCGTTTTAGTAATAATTTATTTGACTGTGTTCTCAGGTAAACAGATAAGTACTAGTTCAAAGATAATGAACCATTTATATTCAGTGTGTAAGAATTCTCCTTTAATCTACCTTCCACAACTAATAAAACAAATGTCACGACTTTAATCAAAAAGAAACCTTTCCATCATCAGAAGAGGAATTTGTAGCTTTTTAAAAAAATATATTACGTGGCATTAGGAACGAAATGCTGAATTAAGAACTTTAAAGTGTAACTTGCCCCCCCGTGAAAGGATAACTCCGCCCCAAGGCGAAATTTGAAAAATGCATCAAAGTGGGTAGGGGAGGGGTTTGGGTAGGGGAAAGGGGGTTAGAGAGCGGAGGTGTGGCCAGGACGAGAGAACGTGACAGCTAGCATTAGCATAATTGATGCTACATGGAAAGTGACCACAGTATCGCAGAAAGTTACATCTCTGAACGTCTGAGGTGGAGGATTTTCACCCCACACTGTCATGGTCTGTGTTTATTTTCCTTAGTTTTCTAGTGTTTTCAGTGTTCCCCTGTGTTTCTCTGCCCTGCAGCCCCACCCTCTCTCACCTGTGTCCTTTTGTGTCTGCTCCAGGTGTGTCTTGTTGCCCTAATTAGTTTTCTGTGTATTTAAGTCCTGTCCTGTCTCTGTCTTTGGTCGGATCATTGTTTGATGTGTTGGTTCTGGTTCTCTGTGCTTTGTTCCCCCTGCCTGTGTGATCCTCGTGCCTCCAGTAAGTTCAGCTGTCTCTACAGCATTTTTGTTATTTAAAATAAATTTTTGTTCTACTTTTGGAGCCTGCCTGCGCCCTGGGTCTGTTTATGCCAAGTCCTCACACACACCAGCACCGGACAGAGGAGGAGTAGCGCTCTGACAGCCTGACAGAAAGAAATAAAAGCACACAGC